TATAACAACAGACTTGTGGTTGGGTTTTTTGGGGTTTTTTTGGGGGGGAGGGTGGCCGCAATTCTTCTCACCCTCCCACCCTGTGACTTCAAAAGTGTCATTGACACATACCGGGAGGTGTCACAAGCAGGAAAGTCTCTTTACCTCTCTTTACACAAAGTTACAATGCAACATCTAGGTTGCATTCATGCAGGTATGTTTGTGTTTACATTTGAGTTGTTTTCTCAGAACCTGTTAGAGACACTAAGTGGGCACTCCACTGCAGAGGGAAGCAGATGTTTTCAACAACTGTCAATACAATTAAAAAAAAAAATTTTTTTTTAAAATTCTGATCACAGAAATGTGTTCAAAACAGAAGTGAGGAAAGTACTAAAAGCCAGGCTGAGTGAATTCCTTATGAAGACCACACAGAAGCAGAGAGCAATACGAGTCAGCATTGGATGTGCAGCACTTCAGGTAGTAGTTTAAACACGTCATTGGAAAACATAATGCTCATTACCAACAAAGGATGACTGTAAATAATTGGTTGCTTCAGCTGTTAAGGCTTTGGGTTTTTTCTGGTTCTGCCCTTTCAATTCCTCTATCCCCTCCCACATACTGCTATTTTTATATATAACCAACACTACCAGATGTCACTTTGTCATCTACCACCAATACACCATCACCCTCTTCTGATGAGGTTTTTGTTACTTCTAATGGTTAGGTTATATCTAAGGTTTCTAAGGCATTAGAAAAGCTAGGAAGTAGAGAAAGAGGTGTTCAAAAACAAAGTCTGAACTAAGACTCCGTAAACGTAAATAGTTCTTCCATCATGTTTTTAGTTTACATGATAAACTAAGCTAAATAAGCTAAGGGAAACTAAGCCATATATGCTAATCTCTCTCTCCCTCTCAAAAAAAAAATTTAAAAATACAATTATTGAAAAAGATACAGTTACCCTGCTATGGGACAGGATTTGGTATGTTTTTAGCATTAGAAAATGTGTACCATTTGAAAGACCGATAGGGTTTGTGGAAGGTGGAAAAGGTGATGTGGTTTTTTTCTTCTTTTTGCACTTTATCATGTGGTGCGGTCGACACGCTGGAGGGAAGGGATGCCATCCGGAGGGACCTTGTCAGGCTTGAGAGGTAGGCCCATGCGAACCTCATGAAGTTCAACAAGGCCAAGTGCAAGGTCCTGCACGTGGGTCAGGGCAATCCCAAGCACAAATACAGGCTGGGTGGAGAATGGATTGAGAGAAGCCCTGAGGAGAAGGACTTGGGGGTGCTGGTTGACAAAAAGCTCACCATGACCCAGCCACGTGCGCTTGTAGCCCAAAAAGCCAACTGGGCTGCATCAGAAGTGTGACCAGCAGGTCGAGGGAGGGGATTCTCCCCGTCTACTCCGCTCTGGTCAGACCCCCCTGCAGTACTGCCTTCAGCTCTGGGGCCCCCAGCATGAGAAGGACATGGACATGT